TGTTTGCCAAAACTGGCCCATTTAAGAATAGTGGTATTTCACCCCCAAAAATCCCCCAGCAACCAGGCCTGCCTGGGGAATTCTGGGAGTTGAAGTCCACTCATCTTAAAGTGGCCAAGTTTGGACAACACTGAGTAAAATAGATGTATTCAACCCAACATAGGCTTATAGTGAATCTATCTTCAGGTTCGTGTTTTTTCTTAAGTGAAAAATTGCACTAGTGAAAACTGATCTTGGGGAACACCAAGAGCCCGCTCCCCCATAAGAACTAGGCTGTTCTCTGCTGGGCTCCCCCACTGCATACCTGAATGTGCTCTCCCACAGCAATGCTAAGGAAAATTTACACCAAGGTGAATCCTGCAGATGCTAAGAAATGTACCGTGTTCAGTGAGTCTTACTCATGCCGGCAAAAAGAAGAGAGCTGCCCGGGCAAGTGTTTGCTGCTTTTCAAGGTGCATTAGCAATAATTAATTGTATCAATTTTACAAGCAACCGATTGTATGGTTTATCTACTTTTTGCCTCCTAATTTTTCTTAAACCAGGATTTGGGCAGAAAGATCTAGGACTGAAATGTAGTTCCCAAAATACTCTGCACTGTTTTGCTCCTATTAGCTTTGTGTGTGGGGGGGGGCAGTTTTGCACCCCTGCACATCTACACACACATTGTCACACTTTATCCTTTTTACTTACAATGGAGTTCTGGTTTTTTAAGTAAGTGGCAACTTTTCAGCCACTTGGAAATCTGCTCTCTCCCTCGCTTCAATGTATTTTTTAAGGTAGAGGGAAATACTACTGCTCTGTAGCTCTTTTTTTTAAAACGGATATTGGCCCAAATCTTACAAGACTAGCTTATTTATTTATTTGACTTGTCCCCGTCCATCTCCCCACAATGGGGGACTCTGGGCGGTTCACATCAAATTAAAACCATAAATACATAATTAAAAGTTATAAGCTTCTTCCCCGAAACTTCACGAGATCTTGCAAGATTCCAGGCAGAAATACCAACAGCTAATGAGAAGTGGCAAGTCCGCAACATTTGAGCCAGTTTAAAAATGATTTTTTTTTATTTTTTTTACTAACCTGGGTGGTCCCACGGACGGGGAGCAATAGAGATTTACTAACTGAGAATTAATTCCCCCTTAGCTTTGAAAATGCCTCTTTCTGCAGGGCCTCCGACTGCGTAGCAGACTCCTGCGCATGTTCAGTCGCAATCTGCCCCTTTGCTTTCCTCCAGCATGCATCTTTCCCCATTTTCTGCATCCCTCCCAATTTACGCCTTAGACCCGCTCCCCAACTGACCCCCACGCCTCGCAACTCCCCGCCTACAGCTGCAACCTTTTCGAATTCTCTTACCCAGCCTTCTCGGGACGCATGCGCAACCCAGGCCTTCCGGAAGGTCTCCTCCGAGCCGACTCCGCAGGTTCTCGTTGGATAACAGATAGAGATACGAAAATATAGAGGAACGCCTCTCACCGTCTGGATATGAAACTTCCGGGTTCGCATTAAGCCTTGGGAGCATCTCGTTGAAAGCGACTGTATTTAGAGGCGCCTTCGCTCCAGTTTATTCATTCATTCACTTATTTTAAATGTATTACTGCGTTGAAAGGAAATCTTGCTGATTTTATTTAGAAGCGTCTTCGCCCAGATTTTATTTATTTATTTTAAATTTATATTTAAAATAACTTAAATTTATTTATTAAGCTGAACTCCAATGGACTTTGCGTGGCGTACAAAACCAAACTAATCCATAAAAATGGATAAAACATAAAAACCGCACAGACAGCCCGGATTAAAGCGATCTAAAAGCAACACAAATCAAACAAAACAAAACAGGGGCTCCCAAAATACAACAATGTATTAACCCCAGGACTGGGACTAAAGCCGGATTATAAGAGCTTTCTGGAACCTGGGAAAGAGGGTAAGAATTTCAACAGGAAACTTCTGCAAGAACTACTTATTGCTGTATTTCTCAACCTCAGCAACGTTAAGCTGTGTGGACTTCAACTCCCAGAGTTCCCCAGCCAGCATGCTGGCTGAAGGAATTCTGGGAGTTGAAGTCCACCCCAAGTTTGAAAAACATTGCTCTGACGGTTCATATTATAATTTTAAAAGTAGAGTAAGAAGTGTCACTGAGGAAAGGAAAGGAATATTATACCAGCTGCTCAATCAGATCACAAGCAAAATCCTCACATTCCACTTTACCAGCTGTCGACATTTCTTACTTCGAAAAAACTTCAAATAAAAGGTATTGTCATTACCGGAAGTTATCCTTTTCTCTCTCTACATTGCGAGCAACCAGCGAAGGGGGACGTAAAGCAGCGAAAGTGCGCCCCCTGCTGAGTAAAGTGAAGAGAACAAGCAGAAGCTCATCTTGAGAATGAAAGACCCCCAAGGAAGGTGTAGGCTTACGTATTTATTCCTAAATGCCGGTCATGGTGGTTTACTGTTGAGAGAAAGGCACTTGTTTGCAAGCACTCTTGTTTATAATTTTTATTAAAGATTTTTGCAAGAATAAAAGATAAGCATGAAAAGATATATGGCGAGTTCAGAAACAGAAGAAAGATAAAAGAAGTGCAGGAAAGGAAAGGAAGAAGAAAAAGATATTTAAAGACAGAGAAAGGAAAAAGAAAAAGATATTTAAAGAAATGACTTCTGATCTTCTTTACAGCAGTTATAAACAAACTTACTGTCTCTCCTTCCTCTTTAAGGTTATATTACATAATTCCCTTCTTCCCATTTAATTAGCAAATCCAAAAATCACCAGTTCATTTTTTTTCCATTTGAAGCAAAAAGTCCATAGAGGGTTTCCAGACTTTTATAAAAGTACTTGTTGTGACAAGCACTCTTCTTTAGATCTAGAGGAAGGATTTTGAAGTCTGTCACAGAAAATAAGTTCCACTCAGTGGGCTACATCTTGTATTCAGGAGGTGGAGATGGAGAATCTCAGAGCTTGCTAGTCTACAAGCTCCCTTATCCCTCACCATTGCCTATGCTGACAGGAGCGCAAGCCAAATCACATCTGGAGAATGACAGGTTCCTCTGGATTGTGAAACTCTTAATTTATTAGGCAACAGATTTAAATCTAAGTAAACCATAATTATGCAAGTACTGGGAGTAAATTGTAGGAAGACCTCAGCTGCCCGTGGTAGCTCCCCTCCAATCATATCACATTCTAGCAAACTTCTTCAACCTAGAGAAGGTCCCAGGGGAGAGACTTCAATTCGCAGCATGACAAATGGCCAGGAGCTCTGTCAGTCCTACAATCTGCAAAGGAATTCAGATCTGATCAGGAAAGGTTAATCTGCCATTAGGTCAAGGGCTGCTGGGGGATTACACTGTCATCAGCCCACTGAGGTTGGCCAAGTCAAGAAGCACCGCATGGATTCCATTCCAGGAATGCTACTTGATTGATGAAGGGTGCAATTAGAGCATCCTGAAAGCCTTTCTCTCTGACTATCTTATACGAAACAAAATCAAGGCAGGGCTGTTTTGAGTTTCTTTCTCACATTTCCTTCAGTGTCTGGAGACACTGGACAGTCTCCAGTCACCTGTCTAAGCCTGTCCTTTGTGGCTCATTCATACCTTCCCCAAAGTCAGCTCTAAATCGCCTTACAACTGGGCAGCGCTGGAGATCAACCACCCCTAGCTTACCCATCCGCCTTAAAAAGATGCTGATTGTTTCCCACTACTGTTCTTTCTTCTCCTTTTCCATCATCATCATCATCATCATCATCATCATCATCATCATCATCTTAATAATATTTATTTTTTATGTTTTTATTTAACATATTTATAGAGCCGCCCATCTCACAAACACATGACTCTGGGTGGCATACCACACAACAGTTAAAAATTCCATAACAATCTAAAAGCAATCAAAAACAAATAAACATATAAATATAGGAAAACCACAATTTAATGGACTACTTATCATTTATTAGCTTATGGCCACCCACTTGTACAAGGTGACAGGCAGCTTAACAGAAGCGTAATTAAAGCAAGATTCCAATGGCCATATTGGGGGGGAACCAAAACATTTGGTAATGTCCAGCCCCACCAGTGGGTACCCCAAACACCCTAGTACCTTTGGAAGCAGCCAGATCTTCAGTACTTTCTGGAAGGCAGGCAAGGTTGGGGTTTTATGGATATGAAAGAAAAGGGGACATTTGTTAAGTTCAAATGTCTATTACATCTGAATTGATATTGTTTGCTCAGTTCATATCATTTGTGTAACTGCATATGAGATAAACAATGTGATTTGCAGTTAAACCATTATTTAATGGACAAACTGTTAAAACAGGGAGGAAATCCCTGTTGCTTGCATAGTCCACTAAACTAAGGTCCATTAATAACAGATCAATATAGAATTAAAAAAATATCTAAAGAGAATAACGACAGCAATAATAATATTACTTAAAGTTGCCTTGGCAATGATTTGATTGATGGGAGAAATATGACTTTATTTTACTTGAAAAATAAAAAGGAGCAAACCACAGTAACACTTTGATGGAGCCAGCATTTTAATTTCCCACAATGCCCTCAGAGCAAAAGAGCATTGTGGGAAAACTAAAATGGTACCTCCACCATTCAGTTGTCTGTCCATAGACAGCCCCGACCCTGTTGGCCTTCAAATCAGAACCTTCACAACTATGAAAAAAATACCAGGACCATCTTTGGGATTGTTTCATTTTAATGTACTAAATGGGATAACTGCCTGTTGTTTGATCATTCTTCCTTTCTGTTAAAAGTTATAATTTGACAACGGCCTTGTTGGGAAGGGCTCTGCGCCCTGGGGGGTGGGGCGGGATGGACCATTGTGGTCAGAAGCAGAGTGTCCTTGATTAGGGTTCCTCAACCTCAAGAACTTTAAGATGGGTGGACTTCAACTCCCAGAATTCCCCAGTCAGCCATGCTGGCTGGGGAATTCTGGGAGTTGAAGTCACCCATCTTAAAGTTCCTGAGGTTGAGGAACTCTGTCCTTGATAATAAAGGCATATGACGTTGCTCTAAATGCCAGTTGCACTCAACTTCTGTCCCCATTCCTTCCTTCCTTCATGCTCTGCTGCATGGTGACTCTTTGGCTTCTAAATGCCAGGGACTGAGTGCCAAGCTCGTCCTTTATTGCTGAACAGTCCTCCTTCCTCCCCATATGTTTTGACAGGATTCTTTTGCGCCTTGCCACACCCAGCTTATCATCTTGAAAAACCCATTTGGGTACAGCCCCGGCTAATAGCTGCTGTGCAGTTAATGGAGAACCTGCTGCTACAGTTAATACAAACCTAGTGGGTTAATGAGCAACAAAGCTGAACCACGCTGCGTTTGGTGAATAAAGAGAAGTAATGGTCTATTTTAAGTATAAGGAAAACAATGTGGAACTCCCAGCCACCTTTTTGAGCTTTTGTGCTTGCCTGGACAACTAGGATTGGAAACTGAGGTTGGATTTCAGAAATGGGATGGATGGATGGATGGATGGATGGATGGATGGATGGATGGATGGATGGATGGATGGGTGAGGAATCC